GCCAACAGTGCCGGACAGTTTCCTGGAAACACCTGGTACAAGAGCATGGGATGGTGCTATCATTCGGGGGCTGAACTACATGTTGGCGACTTCAATGGAGATGGGCGAACAGATATGTTATGTCATGATTCATCAGGGAACAAATGGATTGCCCTGGCCAACAGCGCCTGCCAGTTCCCTGGAAACTCCTGGGAAAGAGACATAGGATGGTGTAATCACGCAGGGACTGAGCTACATGTTGGCGACTTCAATGGAGACRGGCGAACAGATATGTTATGCCACGACTCAGCAGGTCGCAAATGGATTGCTCTGGCCAACAGCGCCGGTAAATTCTATGGAAACTCTTGGGAAAAGGCCATGGGATGGTGCAATCATAAAGGGACTGAACTACATGTTGGCGACTTCAACGGAGATGGACGAACAGATATGTTATGTCATGATTCAAAAGGCCGCAAATGGATTGCTCTGGCCAACAGCGCGGGCCAGTTCACTGAAACGTCCTGGCACAAAGACATGGGATGGTGCTACACTCTAGGGGCCAAACTGGAAGTCGGAGATTTCAACGGTGATGGACGAACAGATATGTTATGCCATGACGCCACTCGCATGTGGATATCGCTTGCAAACAAAGATGGTAGCTTTTCTCAAACTTCTTGGCAAAAAGCGATACCCTGGTGCAATCAAGTAAATGGGACCTCTATATATATTAGGGACTTCAATAACGACAAAAGAGACGACCTCTTGTGCCATGAAGATACGGGAACGAATTCGGTGATGTTGGCCCAACCTGGAGGCTCATTTACTGGAGCCAATGACTGGTATTCGACCAAGGTTTGGTGCGCTGGTGAAGACCTTCATGTCGGAGACTTGAATGGAGACAATCGTGCTGACATGGTATGCAAGGACAGAACAAGTGGGGAAACTGACATTTTATTTGCTGGTGCAAAAGGTAGGTTTATCTTACAATAATAATATAGTTTTGCTGAAAAAGGTTTTTAGGTTAGTCTTACAGCACGGGTAACTAGTTCTTGTGGATGTCGCATTTGAATAGAGCTTGTTTGTGCTGTTGCTCCTGCTTTTGTTGTTGTTGTTTCTTTTGATGTTGTCGCTGTTTGTTGCTGATGTTGTTGTTGTTGTTGATGCTGTTGTTGTTGTTGCTGTTGTCGATGCTACTGTTGTTGCTGTTGTGTCTGTTGCTGTTGTTTCTGTTATTTTTGTTTGTTGCTACCGTTGTCGTTGTTGTTTTTGATTTTCTTGTAGCTTTTTCTTGTGGTTTTCTTTTTGTTATCGTTCTTCTATTTATTTTTGCTGGTCTCATTGTTATTTTTGTTCTTGTTGTTTCTCTTGTTCTTCTTCTTCTAATGATACATAGCATGTTTCTTTTCTCATTTCCTAACAGTACGCAAGCTGTTTACAGGAAGGACTACCGAAGGTCGTACGCGTCAATGTTCTGGCCCTTATAAGGTGTTATTTTTGGCCGACTTCGACGGAGACAGCAAAGAGGACATGCTATGTCATGATAAGTCTACAGGACAAAAATGGATCGATTACAGCTGCTTTGAAGAAATACGAGGCAAGATCACATTTTCATTCATCATACTCACTATCGTGTCTCTGATTGGCTGAGCATGATCATCCAATCCTCAATAGCGTGCTAACTTGAAGAATAAATGTAGCTTTAGGATTTTCTGCTAAAATCCATAGGCACGTGACCTTGAAAACKGTGTTTTCGAAAATGCCAAGATGAATCAAAGATTATACTTATTCATTTATCTCACGATTGTGGCAGTTGGCTGGACCGCGACGTTTCAATTGCTACTGCTAGTATTCATCAGGCGATGGTGTAGACTGGAAGGTGGTGCCTTATATACCGTCAGTCTGGCTCCCTTGAGAATTCATCCGGGGCTGTGATTGGTTGTATCCAGTGGGTGTGGCGGAGTGCTTTAGAATGGTCGGTATCCACGCTTTCGGAATCTCAATTCCGCTGTCACTTTTGATCTTGTTGGGGTGGAGTCTAATGTCAAGATGTCATGCAGCCTTGGTTCATGGAATCAAAGACGTTAACAATTGTATTTCTTTTCTTGTTTTTTAAAACTAACACTATTTCATTGTCATTTTGGGAAAACCAACCCCATCCCCAACACCTCAACCAAGACCAGCAAAAGGTAAGCCGGAGTGGTGGTCTGCGGTAAGGTAAATAGGTGAATCCTAAAATCAATTACTGTTGAGGGCCATAAGTTTGTTAACTTGGCTTTTAAGTACAACCCTTTTTAAAAGTTTGTTAACTGCAATCATTTATTATAATCAAAATATGAAAAACTAACGAGGAAAAACAATAAAAAATTGTCACCCAGTTGAAATCAGTAAATAGGATCATGAGAATTGATTTTCTTAGTCAAACTCACTCCAATCTCAAATTTTTTAGTCCTATTTTTTTACGACGACCACTGAAAGGATTTTTAGGATCTATAGTGGCGAATAATATTTCTATTCCAAAAAAGYCGGCGGGCTATCGTAGACAAAGGCGTTAGGTCAATCCAAGACCCAATGGAATTATATACATAGATATAAACATAAATGATCGAGGTCTTTAAAATGGCTTTGTTCACTACAAGAAACACTGATATCTCAACCACAACCTCCGTGTCCTTGATGAGAATATGATGTAGAAACACCACTGGTAACATTACTGAGTTATTCCAGCTATTGATCCCTTGCAGCACTTTGGAATGCAGCTCAATCTGGGGAACAAGCAATAGGTTCCAATTCTCAGGAGATTGGAATTCTTTTGATATGTCCCCCAGATCGAGCTGCTTTGACGTCACGTGCGAGGGATTTATTCTTGAATCTGGGAATTCCCTTTTTCCAATCGCTTATCGCTTATCGCCTTTCACCTATCACGACCTATCTTTTTTGGTTCCGACAACCTATGACCTCTCATGACCTATCTCTTTTGTCTCCGACAACCTATGACCTCTCATGACCTATCTTTTTTGGCTCCGGCAACCTATGACCTATCATGACCTATCTCTTTTGGCTCCGACAACCTATGACCTATCATGACCTATCTCTTTTGGCTCCGACAACCTATGACCTAACATGACCTATCTTTTTTGGCTCCGACAACCTATGACCTCTCATGACCTATCTCTTTTGGGTCCGACAACCTATGACCTCTCATGACCTATCTCTTTTGGCTCCGACAACCTATGACCTAACATGACCTATCTTTTTTGGCTCCGGCAACCTGTGACCTATCTCTTTTGGATCCGACAACCTATTTTGAAATAGGTATATCTTCTATGACTTTTAGAAATCTAAGAGCTGTAAGCTAGTTTGATTTTTTGCAGGCAAGTGGCATCAGCTCAACAACGAACAAGTATGCTTCAAGGGTAACAACGAAAACCCAGGCATCTTTGAACCAAAATTCGAGGGCTTTCTTGCTGCAGTGAAGCTTGTTCATCGTAGTGGGAAGATTGTTTGTGATTGGCGAATAGATGGTTCTCACACCAGTTTCTGGGGATGCCACAACTTTCTACACATTGAAGACACTCCTCTCAACGTTTTTATCACCGATGATGAGGACAACATTCTCTTTCCTAAGATTGGAGCAACGTAAGTTCGACATGAAAATGGAAATTTTCTTTCTATTGTTACGTCTAACTTGATACCACATCTACCAGAATCCTTTTGGTTTCATTGGTTGTCCCAATTGACACGATTTATGAAATGGCATTCTCTTTTCCCTTATCACGTCTTGGTAGAACATTTAACATAATTCTTTTTTAAAAGAAGTTCATAACTAGTTACGCGGGGAATAGTTATGCGGGGACTCCTGATAGGGAATATTGATGATGATGAAGAAGAT